GAGAGAGAGAGTGAAAATTGGGATTTAGAGTTAGAGCGGGGGAGAGGAGGAGAAACTGAGATTAAGAGTGGGAGAGAGGGTGAAAAATTGAGATTTAGTTTTCGAGTGGGGAAGGGAGGGTGAGAAATTGAGATTTAGTTTGAGCGCTGGCAGAGGGTTAGAAATTATTGAGATTTCGAGTGGGAGAGTGGGAGAGAGAGTGGCAAGAGAAAGGGGGAAGTGAGGCATGATAAAAGAGCACCAATAGTCAACTGTTTCGCGAGTTTATTCTAAACTTTTCCTGGCGAAATCTCACTGTTGTCCTGCTCACTGGCCGTCCGTCACAGGCCGCCTCGTCTATCCCCGACATTGCCCAAACTGTGGAGTTTCTGAAATGAAGTGGTGAAAAAGTGTGCGAATGCACGACAGATATGGCCGCCGTGACGTCATGAGCAGGGTGTTATTAAACGAGAAGCTAAATATTGATACTGTTGACCGTTTAGTTAAGTGCAAATGTACACGCCCGTCAGAACTGAGAGGCGATTGCAGACATTGGTACGATGTTGTTGTCGATATTCATGTATGGTGTGTGTGTGTGTTTAAATCAGAAACCTTTGTGTTGTAACAGCCGGCCCGACTAACGACATTCACAAAGGAAAACTTGCTGACCAGGACAAAATGCTCACTTGTGATATATATATATTTTTTGGAGCCGGCGTCTGTGGTGTGAATCAATCAGGTGCCACGCTGTCGCACGTAGAAGACCCTAGTTCGATTCTCGAGTGGGGAGAGCATTTTTAGCGAGTATCTCGGTGTTTCTGCTGGAATGTTCTAGTATCCCTCTCCGTCAATGGTTGGCCCTGGTAGACAGGGTAGGAAGCCCGCCTCCTCCTAAATGATCTCAATGTGAGGCAGCGTGGTGAAATCAGGCGCTCGTCAAAATAACGAAATCTGAGAAACAGGCACTTTTCCGCCAGTTTGGAAATTTTTTTCGAATTTTTATTTTTTGGCTTAACCTCTTTTGGGTCCATATAAAAACACATTTCCTCGTAGATTTTGCTGAAAAACATTAAATTAAGGCACAAAACACAAATTAAGGCGTGTTCTTATTCGGTTTTCTCAAATGCTTTAGCTGTTGGAGTTACCTATCTTTGGCGGCCATTTGCTCGCTAATTTCACCACTGAAACCAGGTGACCTCGCTTCCTTAAATCGCAAATATTTTGAGTTCTATTCAAGATAAATGGATAATATTTATTTCATTCGAAGCACAATCAGTTTTCAGATGATAATATCAATAACTCCACATGCCCAAAAATTGACAAGCGCCTGATTCCACCGCGTCGTGACACAAATTATGTCGATGTGGGGTGTAAAAACACTTACATTGAAAAAAAAAGATTAGTAGATTAGTTTGTCTGTGAAGATATATAGCCAGTTTTTACCTCGGGAGCTCGCAATTGTAATCAGCCTAAGGAACTCCGTCATTACGTAAGAAAGACGCCACTGCCTGTGGTTTAAATTAAGTTGAGTCAATTGGTTTGGGGAAGGGGAGGGGGCGGGGTAAAATTTAAAAATCTACAAGTACTTTTTAAAATTCTTTCCCACTTTTACCCTCCTCTCACCTCCTCTCTTTGTCCATCCACCCTAAAGCGTGGATGGTTGGCGGGTGCTCTGGTGTGGTTTGCTCCTTCTTTCCTATCAAACATCTATCGTCGTTATCTCGTCTCCTCCTCCTTTCTTTGTGTTTGCTATTTTCTCGTAACCCCGCTAATCTTCTGCACTTACGTGACCTAATTGTGTTCCAAGTACCGTAAAACGCTTAGGCTACCGAAACAAACATCCCAAGTGTTTCCCTTTCTCTCACCTCCTTCCTGTGTCTGTCCATCTAAAGTATTCTCCTTCCTTCTTATACTTCCTCTCTGTGTCTGTCTATCCTTCTTATACTTCCTCTCTGTGTCTGTCCATCTAAAGTATTCTCCTTCCTTCTTATAC